AAGGTGTATGGGCACACACCTCTTGGGGGTGGGACACAATTATAAGAGGGGCTTTGCCTAACAGATGCAAATAGTGTAACCTAACTCTTTGTACCCTCAATGAATCCCAATCAAAAAAATAAAATTGTTTGGGAAACTGTGGTAGAATATGTGTGCTTGTAGATACATACATACCCACAGTACCTGTAAGGGAAAACAAATAATGAAATAAAAGTAAAAGTAAAGAACTATGTTAGTCATTTCCTACAAGTGCTATATATCTGGAAGTTTGGGGGAAATTTAGGCATTTCTTAGCTCTTCAACAAAATAGTGAGCTCCCTGAGGGCAGGTAGTCTGTCTTGCCATTCTGGGTCCCCATGTCCTAGCATAACACCAGGCACAGAGAAAAGACATTTCCTAGCTAGACATGTGTCTAGCTAGCTTGTGTCTTAATTTGTCATTGCATCTGCACTTAAATACAATCCAATGCAAATGCAAAACGATAAAATATAGAAAAACTATTTGTAAGGTCTTTAATAATCCCAAGAACCAAGAAAAGAACAGAGTAGAAAAATTTGCAAGAGTGTACTTGCATATTTGTATGTTGTTTGTGAAAGGGTAGGGTACTCTAGTGTTAAAGTTATTATTTCCTGCTGTATACCAGTCATCTGGAGGCTAATGCATGTGCAATTTCTTGGGAAAGAGCTCTTTGCTGTTCTAATCATCAGGAAATCTGTCGCTTTCTTAGTCTTTAATGAGACGTATCTTCTTAAAAGTGTAAAATACAATTGCCTAAAGGGAAAAATAAATAGCATTACATCAAATCATGGTTGTTACAATTTTTTAAACCCCAAATTTCTTTCTTTGTGAAAAGTAGAACCATTTATTTTAATGGAAAGCTCTCAGAAAAACCTTAGGAGTTAATAATCAAGTTAATGAGGAATTCTAAAGCTCATCGAAAGATTTGTGTTTGTTTTAATAAATTTCACTACATGCGTAATACGCAAGTGAGGGGTATTATAATGTTAGCAGTCACTTGTCTTGTGTAGGAACCACAACATGGGAATTGTCATTCACACGTAACAAATGATTTTATCAAAAAATGTCAAGCATCTTGAGACTGGTTCTATTTCTGGGAAAGGTTTTGGTACATTCAGAAACCATTTTTCTATCTGAACCAATCTTTGAACTGATGACAACATTAAAATTGTATCTATTATCTGCCTGAATACACCCAATTTGATGCACTTTTTTTTTTTTTTTTGCATTGTTTTGGCCAGGGCTGGGTTTGAACCCTCCACTTCCAGTATATGGGGCCAGCACCCTACTCCTTTGAGCCACAGGTGCCGCCCCAAATGAACTTTTTTATAAAATATAAATTCTGTACTACTAGAATTACTGGAAAACAAGTAAGTAAGGTTTCAGAAATATTGTATGAACCCACATGACATTCCTAATTTGGGGGTGGCAGATCGGTTGTGTACCACATTTATGCACTCTTTACTTCATCAGGGCTCCTAGTAAGTGAAAACGAACTTTCTGTGCCTGCCCTTTGGAGGAACCTCTGGTGAGGGAAATCATACCTTTCCCTTTAGCATCTCTCATACATATTTACAAACAGGTGCTCTGCAGATACACTTCCAAGGAGTTTGCTCTCACATTTGCCTGCTGTGCGTGGAGCTGGGACATGGTTGGGTTTGCAAGATGAAAGAAACGAATGCCAAGGTTTTAGTGAATGTCCTTCTGTGACTCCCCAACCTTCCCGCCACCCCACCAACCTCAGTTAAAGTTCAACCATTTGGGTTTTGAGTGCAGCACAGTGAGAATGTGATGGATACCACTGGGCACTGACTGAAACTGTGTTTGCTACTGGGTCAGGCAGCCATGCAAGAGAGAAACAGTGCCAGCCCAGTTATACAATCCCTGCCTGCTGTAACCCTGGGAGCTGCCCATACAATGAGGCACAGAAAGCAGATTTTTGTGTTGTTTACTTTTATGGAATCAGGATGCCTTATCAAAGAGACCCCATTACATCGAGTCTAAAAAGAGAACCTAGTCTAAATGTTGCCCCATAGAGTCCAGCATGTGGTAGCTCATTGGACCTTTAAAGACCATCTGTACTGGATGGCTGGTTTTATAGCTCCTCCAAGGAGGACTTAGTCTATTTATTGTAGTACATTGCCAGGAAACATTTATTATTTCAGTGGATCTAGTGGCTCCGTCCTACTTAAGTGGCTCTTGTAAGTATTCACAGCCCATCACTCCAGCTCTTAGTTGAGACTTGGAGGTGATAAGGCCACAATTAATATTGCTTTCTGCCTGTCTGGGCATATGTCCCTGTGAGAGATGTGTGGTTAAATCAGTGAGCCAACCATGAATCTTAATAGCTTAGGAAATATTCATCAGAACACTTTGCTCTTCTGGCTTCTGTAGTACTAGACAGGCTTTATGAGGGAGTGGAAAAAAACCACTCTGTGTTGAGGCCCCTACAGACCAACATGAAGATGTCCACAAGAGACCCACGGCCAGAAGTATGAACGGTATAGCTCACCAGAGCGATCATTTGATTTACTGACATAAAGCTATGTTTAAACTTTCTGGTCAAGATCACCCTATGTGGGTAATACCAATAACAATTTACAAAGTCAGGTGTTTCTAGAAAAGTGTACTCTTTTTTGATCTAAAGATTAGCAATTGACGAAGCTGCAATCCTTAGAGCACCGTCAGTCTCCCTTTCCATCTCGCTTTTGACGTCTCTGATTGCAGGAACCGTAACTAGTGCATCTGTGCTAGTGTCCTGCCCAGCCTCAGAAACTTGGCAGGCACTTCAAAAATATCTGTTGCATGAACAAATGTTAAGTAAGAATTCTCTGCCATTAGGGCATGTCCAAGAACAACAGGTAGCATTTTCGGTCTGTGTGACTGTGGTGGGCCAAATACTTTTACTTCAGAAGTTGCAGAGGAGAATAAGTACGTTCCTCTGAGTCACCTGACATTTGTGTCTCTCATCGTTCTCAGTTTCTTTGTCATTCTTCAGTATTTGCGAAGGTCCTGCTGTGAGCCCAGCCTCTATGTGGGTTTGTATTTTACTAGTATGGTCCAGGCTCTGTTCTGTCTTCGTGGGTTTTCACCACCCACCCACCCACTTCTCTCGGACACTCTTGACCACTCTGTGCTGGTCATTGCCAGATTATTTGTCTGTCCTTCCCTTGGACTGTCTGCTCCATGAGGCAGGGGTTTGGCTTTTTTCTCTATTGTGTTCGACCCACTCTGGGTTTCTGTGGCTGTTTACAGACTGAATAAGTGAACACCTTAATTAAAGAAATGAACAAAATGAATGTATCTATCCATAGTTAGATCGCCTCTTCTTTGAAAATCTTTTAATTGTTTTTTCCCATAAACAACATGCCGTTTGGGGCTATATATAGATATGTACTATGGTGAAGCAAATTCACATACCCATCAGCTCCCAGTCACCCCAATTCTGGGGTTTGTTTTTGTGGCAAGAGCAGCTGAAATCTACTCACTTAGCAGGACTCCCATGTACAATTCAGTTTTATTACCTGTTGTCCTCATCTTGCACCTTGGATCTTAGGTTTGTTCATGTAGTTAGATCATTGTTAGGTACTTGTTTTCAGATGGTGGCTGCAAGTGTGTGAGCCTGTGGCACAAGGCACAAGCTGCTGCAATTAACACGTCACTAAGACTTGGTCTCAGCTGCTCTTGATGTGGTGTCTTACCAGTGCATTTCCATTGTCAAGTGAACAGCTCAAAAATAAAATAAAAATGAGGTTTAGAGAGATGTAACATTACAAGTGAGTGCTATACTGGGTGGATAAATTATCACATGCCTACAGGCACAGGATTTTAAATGGATTAGATCAGGCGTGGTAGTTAAGTCAACAATTCGAGAGGCCTTCATCATGAGGTCCATGCTGTGGCCTTGCTTCCTGCAGGACTGTTCTCTGTGGTGTTGATGTGGAGTGAGAGGCTTTAGGTCAAGAGCTTGAAGGTCACTGAGAAGCTCAGGGGGCCAAATAAGACAAAGCTAAATAATACAGCAGGTGACATACAGTAGGACCTCCAGAGCTGACCACCTCTCTTCACTGACCACTCAAGTTGACCTAGATCGGACATGCACTACCTATACATGTCAGCACGGCAGGCCTAGCTCCGTATGTTGACCACTACAACATACGGAGGGATATGAATTCTGTCCTGCAGGGAGAGGTTTTTTGGGGTTTTTTTGGCCATGGCTGGGTTTGAACCCACCACCTCTGGCATATGGGACCAGTGCCCTACCCTTTTGAGCCACAGGTGCCACCTTAGGGAGAGGTTTTAAAGGTTATTTTAAAGGGGAAATTGAAAACTAAAGACATTAGTGACTTGTGTAAAACCTCTTAGCTGCTTAATATTAAAGCTGGGACTGAAATTCAGTGCATCTGACTTCTAATCGAATGAGTTCTCTGTGGACAAACTCAGTGATTTATTCATTAAATGTTTATTAAAATGCTTATTCCCCACCAGGCACTATAATAGGTACCAATAATACAAAAATAAGAAGAAATGCTGTAATACTTTATAGTCAGGTAAGAAGACAGATATGTAAACAGATAACTAGTTTTCAAGGCACATGTTATCTAATTTTTTTTATCTTACAGGTCAGAGAGCAGGTAAACTGATAAATCTACTAAAAGTGACAACTTTAGTAAGTTGAGGACACAATGTTTTACTCAGCTCACTTATGTGTCATATATGTAAGACTTTCCTGATCAACTTTTCGGAAAGTAATTTAGTCTATTTTAAGATCAAATATAAAAGGAAAATTTTTAAATGAATTTATGTTATAAATTACATATACATTTCACATGTGCATGTTTTTATGTGACAAAAGTAACAAAATACGTTTACCAATATAGGATTGTTTAGTATTTCAACTTCAAGTCTAAGGTTCATGCATTTATTGTAGATTCTTTTTATGGTGACTTGTGGACTTTCTCCTTTCTTTCTCCCTTCCTCAGATTTTCATCACCGTGAATTGCCTGAGTACAGATTTCTCCTCCCAAAAAGGGGTGAAAGGACTTCCCTTGATGATTCAGATTGATACATACAGTTATAATAATCGTAGCAATAAACCCATTCATAGAGCTTATTGCCAGATCAAGGTCTTCTGCGACAAAGTGAGTAAAGAAAACAGTTTGTGATAGAGGTATCTTTGCTATTAGTTATTACTTTTGATGCTATTTCCCCCTCGTCACCTTTTCTTATCTAGTGGTGTCCAAATAATCACTTTATCAATCACAGCAGGCATGGTAATCTGTTATTCTCAACTCCTGCTAGATATCTAGGGAGCCATTAGTCAATGATATTTTTAAAAATTATTTTTACCACGAATATAATGACTGATTGACATTACATAGTGTCTTAGTCAGATTAGGCTGTTATAACAAAATACCACAGACTGAGTGACTTAAACAACAGAAATTTATTCTTCACAGTTCTAGAGCTGGGAAGTCCAAGATCAAGGTGTCAAATAATTTGGTTCTTGGTGAGGCCTCCTTTTCTGGCATGTAGATATACTGTATCCTCACATGGCAGAGAAAGAGAGAGAACAAAAAAGCTCTCTGGTGTTTCTTCTTTTAAGGACACCAATTCCATCATAAAAACTCTACCTTCATGACCTCATCTAAACCTAATTACTCTTTCCAAAACCCACCTCTGGGGGCTGTTACATTGGGATCTGAGGGCATATGGATTTGGTGAAGGGAAATATAAACATTTAGTCTGATTTAATTAGATAGCTGAAGTAACAGATTAATAATCTTTACTGGTTATAGATACTGTCCTGAAACACATCAATACAAGCTTTACTATTTTATGGGTTAAATGAGGCCTCATCTAGGATGTTTTAGAATGGAAATAGCACTTATAAAATAAGTTCATTAGTATACATGCACTAAGAAATCTCCCTAACCCCCACCATAAAAGAGACAGATATTAGAACAGCAAGCCTTAAAAGCCTGTGCTTAGGTGACAATAGGTACTCACAATTCCCAAATACGAATGGGATTCAGAATGAACAGTATCAAGACCCATATGTTATCAGCATTCATGAGGGGATGTGAAGGGGCAATGTGATGACCAGAGAGCTGGAATACTACAGAATTCCCAAGGCACACACTGGAGAATGAGTTGGGCCATCTGAGATCAGCTGGGGAGGCTCAGGTGGGAGGGTGCAAGTTCCGTGGGCTCTAGTTTACTGGTGAGGGCAAATGGTGTGAGCACTGGAATGTTTTGGTCTCTATGAACTCTGAAAAGTTATACAATGAGGTTTCCTTCTAGGACAAAACTCTGCTCTGGGAAAAAACAAAAAATCTTGCTGCGAGTAAAATCCAGTCAAATTGGAAAAAAAGGTGAAAAGGAAAAAAAAGGTCAAAATAAGAATGAAGAAGAAATTAGGAAGGAACACAGGATAGGCAAAGCTCAGGAAATACAAGATGAGTGTTGTTTGCTTTGTGAACACACCAGAAGAGGAAGCATGGCAGCCATTAATCTCAAAGTACCATCCAGCCTTACTCGTTTCACCTGAAAATGGCCAACAGAAAAGAAAAAAACTGTCAAATCCCACACAGTGGAAATAGAGACTAAGATCAGACTGACTTCCTCATGGACAATGAATACATACTAGAAAGACATTCCCACAAATCAGATGAAAATGATAGCCTAATATTTCAGAATGAACTAAATGAAATCTAAGAAATAATAGGAGTTAGGAAGACCAACCTAGATCAAAATTTGAAAAATTCAGACCCTAGATGTTTGGGAAATAGAATGATTTCAAGAGAGATATGATGGAATTCAGGAAAGAATTTAGAAATAAAAGATTAAAATATATTAGAAATAAAGACTACATTATAAGCAACACAGAGTAAATAAATATAAAGATAATGCCTTGAGAAAATACAAGTTGAAGTAGAATAAATTTGAAGTATTCTTTTTCTATTGTCTGTAAGAGTTGGCATGATCTGTTTTTTGAAATTATCTTCTATTTTATTTATAAACATTAGTCATCTATTTAAAAAATAAAGTAAGTAAGAGAGTAAAGAAAAAAACAAATTTAGATATGTTGAAAAGTAAAATAAAACCTGAAATGTTTGGTACTTATAATAAATCATGAAAGAATTACTTGTGCTCACTTTGAATGTGGACACACTTGAAGACGTTCTGTGAGCCCTGTGAGCAGAACATGGATCCCAGCCAGACTTTCATTATGTCTCTTCACACCAAAAATTGTTGTTTCAACATTCTGTTGTCCTACACGTCAATTTTTTTGCTATGAGAAAGGAGTCAAAAGGAAAAAAAAAGAAGAAGAAGAGTAATTTCAAGACCAGTAGTTGTGGAAGTCTATTAACGACATTTGGGATCAGAACAGTGCTAAAATGTATATTTATATACATATAAAACATACACATTTTATCTTGAATGGTGTCATAACTGATAAATTATTTGTGTGGAGTGGATATTATGATTAATTGGGTTTTGGTTACATTAAATTAATATTCATCTGATTTACCTTGCTTAAAAAAAAATTTACACAGTTTTGTACTTAAATCACACTTCCTGCCAAAGGAACCAACTATTCCTTGGCCACTTTTGTGTGCAAGCTCCTCACTGGGCAAGATGAGTCACTTGACAAAACACAGACACAGGGTTCTACATCCCAGAAGGAAAATCCACTGAGCAAATGAAATCCTGGCTTAGGAAGGCACCGAGCTCCAAACTTTGGATTTTTTATGATTATATTCTGCAAATTTTTATAAAACAATATTTATTGTCCCTGAGTTGAAGATCTAGCAAAAAGGGATCAATAATGATCATAATTGCAGTAGGCTGCTTCTAAAACAGCTCTCAATGATCTCCATGTCTGGGTATTCACTTCCTTGTGGCCTGGATCCAATAACCTGCTCCTAAGAAATGGAATACAACAGAAATGATGGTGTCACTCTGCCCTCTTTTTCATACTCCTCCTTGCTCTTTGCTTGCTTGCTTGCTTTGATGAAACAATCTGTCACGTGTGTGCAGAGGGGACACAAGGCAAGGAATGGAGAAAGGACACAGGGCACTTCTACCACAGGCTACCAGAAAAAAGAATGCTGCCAACAACCATGGAAGGATTCTGGAAGCAGACCCTGCCCAGTTCCATCCTGAGATGACTGCAGCCCCAGGTGACACCTGACTGCAAGCCCACTAGGCCATACACAGATTCCTGACCCACAAAAACCATGAGATAGTGAGAGGCCAACCGTGCGTGGAAAGAGCTCTGGAGACAACACCTCCCAATCACCTCTCCTCTATCTCACCCTCAGAACTCCTGGCCCAGTAAAGAACACAGATGCCTGAGCTGTAAAATGCCATCCACTGTGTGGCCAAGCCTCCCTCTCAAAGGGGTGCCTCAGCAGTGGCTACCTACAGGCACCCATTCCAGCTCCCCACAGCAGGCCTGCTCTACTGCTGGGCACTCTGGCTGCTCAGCATTTCCCTGAGACTGCCCATACATCCACCATACCCACGCATCTGTTTCTAGATATTTCTCTGATCTTTCAGCTCCTTCTGCAAGGCCTCCCTTCCGCAGCTACCACGCTGATACCAAGTGCAATTACTGGGATGAATCCTTTTCCTATAACATCCCCAGTAGCACTGGCTCCCTGACTGACCCCAGCTCATACTGATATGCCCACCAAGGAGAAATAACCCAGGATGAGAGGAATGAACATGACTGGCTAAGAGGTGAATCCTGGTAGGAGTGATTGATGTCAGATGGTCCAACTCAGTAATTTTCAACCAGTATGCTGTGGCACACTGGTGTGCCGTGAGAGGATCTTAGGTATGCCATGATGATTTTTAATGATCATTAATTAAATTATTTTCAAAACAAGTTTGCAGCACACACACACAAAAAAAAAGAAGAAAGAGAGAAAATACAAGTTGGAAAAGAGCAAACATTTAAAAATCAGAGGAAATGAAAAAAGAAGAGTGAAAGAAAATACCAGATAGAAAAGAGAGACAAAGAAGATCCAACATACATACAACAGGAATATTTGGCAGGCAGGGAAAAATGGAACAGAACAAATACTAGAAATACTAAATCAGGAAAACCAGATACACACGGGAAAATAGATTCAGGTGACCAATACCAAATAGTTAAGCTATTGGACAGTTTAGAAAAAAGAAAAAGATACTCTTTGGGTATCTAAGAAAAGTAAATAAAATAAATATTAAATCACTTATAAGGGAACTTCTTCCACCTAAATTTTTTTTTTGGCTGGGGCTGGGTTTGAACCTGCCACCTACAGCGTATGGGGTTGGCGCCCTACTCCTTTGAGCCACAGGCACCACCCCTTTCTGCTACCTAAATTTTCAACAGCAACACCTTGTCGTAAGACAATGATATTTAAGGTAATCACATAAAGAAAATGTGAGCCATGGATTTGCTATCTAGCCAACTTGACTTTCAAGTGTAAAGACTGCAGGCACAAACAAAAGCAAACAGAATAAACAAACAAAAATCTAGGGACTATTTCTTTTTGGAGATCTGGTATAAAACCAACTTTAGACAAGTAATATGACTGTGAAGTTTTGGTAAAAGGACTGAGGGTGAGCAGTATAATAGTGAAAGGATCCGACTTCATGGAAGACACTGGGGAGAGAGAAGGGGAAAAGGGGGAGGTAGCTAATTCACTTTTGCCCATTACTGTGAAAGGTGCTGCAGTCAGTATTAAAGGTCTACTGTGATATTAACATGTCTGGGAGTTCTGCTTTAGCATAGGGAGAAATAGGCTCCTGGGAGCAGAAAGCAGCAGCAGCAGGACGCAGAGGTGGTCAGCAGACGAGAGAAGGAAAATGCATGAGCACATGAAGCAGAGGAAAATATTCCTAAAATCTCAATAGCTTTCTAGGCTATCATGACTTCTGTGGGTGCCAGTCATCCAGCCATCTGAGCAGCACAGCAACTGAGGGACAGTCAGGCCATTTCCATGCCTGTGAAGTCACCATACACAGTAGTCATGAGGAAATGATTATAAAACGGTGGGACAGACAGCTTAAGTAACTGGTCCAGAGTTACATAGCAAAAATGCAAAGATGCTGGATGGAAATACAGTGTCGAACCAAATTCATGCTC